GTGCCCACCCTCTGCACTTCAGGCTGGAGAGGAAGCAGAGCACCCACCCAGTCTGCAGCCCTGCTGATTTCTTTCTTCTGCCAGAAACCCCAGATCATCTCAATGGGGAGAGGGATTCCCTGGACCTCCGGCTCTTCTTCGGTTTCCCATCCTCAGGGAGCGGGAGAGGAGGCATCTGGGAGACAGTTTGGGCTCCCCAGAACAGGTCCTGGGCTAGGTTAGGTTGCTGGCTGTCCCTCTTTTCCAGGGCTAGCCACTGTCCCCAGGTACCCTGCAAACCCAGGTGTCCAGCCTGCCAAACTTGTCCGGCTGTCCCTTTCCTGACCTGGGCTGCCAGGGGTTAAGGGACCAGTGCAGGGCAGGGGGTGGGAATGGCAGAGGGGTCTGGCCCCAGTCACTGGCTCATAAAAGCCAAAAGGAGTTTAACTGCAGGTCACGGTGCTGCCTGACTTCTCCATCCAGCAGTGCTGCCCTGGGGGAAGGGGGTTGGGGGGGAGTCCTCTAGGAGGGGAAATGGGGGCCACGGCTGGCCAGGATCAGGGCCAGGCCTGTCCAGCTCCAGATGCTGGCAGTTGCCATCAACAGTGCCGGCCACACTGGATTCCCACCTCTACCTCGGAGGTTCTCTAAAAAGCAGGACTCCAGAGTAAGGGAGCCGGACGTTGGTGCCTGTCCCTGCAGCAGGCTAGGGAAACGGGCCCTGGCGTCAGCGGGACAAGAGGCGATGCCCTCTGCCAGGCCAGCAGGAAGCACCAGTCCGGGTGCTGGAACAAAGGGAGCAGGACAGAGAAGCCAGCAGCCAGGGGTCAAAGAGCAAGAGCAGTGCGCCGGCTGCCTGTGGGCAGGGTCTCCAGGTTCTCCCACGGCTGCCCCTCCCCACGCCCGTGCTGCCCCCTGAAGAGGCCAGCAGAGCCAGGGGCCTCTCTCGGGGGACAAGACTTAGTCTGGACACGTCCTCAGCCAGTGCGTCCACACCTCCTCCCTCCCGCCTGCCCAGCTCAGCGTGCCCGGCCCAGCCCCGAGGAGAGCGTTGGCAGCTGGGAACCAGGTAGCAGAGCCAAGAACAACAGAGGAGCCGCCTGGCTGCCTGGGTGCTGCATAGACCCTGGCCTGCTCTGTGATTTCTCCTGGAGCCGGCAGCCCTCCTCCCACCCCAGCTTCTGACCCTGCCCGCCCACCCCTGCCTCCTTTCACCGCGGCCTGGGGCTGGCCCTGGAGATCCCAGCCATCCCCTCCTTTCCGGTCCAGCTGCCCCTTAGAGTCACTCAGGATTCCCTGCCTGCACCTTCCCTGGCTTGGAGGGACTCTGCCTGCTTTCCAGGTCTCTGACCCGGTCTCCCAGCTGGCGGGAAGCCCTATTCCCTGCTCTAACAGCAATCTGATGTGGGGAGAATCCGGGCCAGGCCTTACCAGATTTGAAAAGGGCTGGGTCCCTGAGCCCAGGCAGACAGACCAGAATGGAACATTCCCCTCTGTACTGAGGGTTAGACCGGACCAGGAGGCAGGATGCTTGAGCTCACACTGCGCCGCATGGAATCCTGAGGGCTTGGGGACCAGGGACACCACTGTCCCGCCCCAGGCACTCTTAGCTCCTTTATTCTACTCTCAGACCCACCCCCCTGCCCTGGCAGAACTTCTGCCTATTCTGTTGCCCCTCTGCTGAGTGGCAGAGACCCAGTGTCCAGCCTCACCTGGGTTTAATTTCTACAGGACTCCCAGCCAGCAAACTCTGTGACCCAGCAGATGGAATAACACTGCTCGGGGTGAGGCGCTTCTCCAAGTGCTGAACTTGGCCAGAGAATCTCCTTGTCCCGGTTGGGGGGGAGGGGGAGGGGTTCATGACTCTTCCACTCTCTCCATCCCCAGCTGGGCGGGTGGTCCCTCCTGCCCCATCCTCAGGGGAGTGGCGGAGAGGGATAGGGGCAGCTCCTCTCCCCCAGCCCCCCACCCCTCCATCGTGCACACATCCGCGGCTCAAGCTCCTCCACCCAGCCAGAAGCGTGCCCACCTCCATTCCTTCTGCTGCAAAGCCAGCCACTTTCCTCTTAGCCTCACTACCATGGGAACAAAGCCCCAGAAGGTTCCTTGCCTAGCTCTCAGGCCTGTTTCCTCCCTACCCCACCCCCACTCTGCCTCTGTTCTCCCAGAGCAACCAACTCTGCACCTTTTTTTTTGTCACCAACTCTGCACCTTTCCCCCCAAATTCCTGGGGGAGCCCCCGAGAGGGGTATGACCAAGGTTCCTAGAAAGGGAGAGTGGGTTGCCCAGGGCTGACCTGCGTCAGGTTTGGTCCTAATGAAAAGGCCAGCGACACTAGGAAATTCCTTCTCATTGATCCTGGCGGGAAATTAAAGCCAGTTGTTTGTGACCGGGTGACTGACAGGGGCTAAGCCCCTCCTCACCGCCTGGCTCCCGGCCTGCTCCCTGCCCCTAGGCTCCCCCATCCTCCACTGTTAGCCTCCTTTCCCATCCCCCAATCCTCTTATCCCACCCACAGTGTCCCCCAATCCCCTTCCCCTGCATCTTCCCTAAGCCCCTTCCACTTGCCCGCCCTATGCTCCCGTGGGCAAACGGGGTTTCTGGAAGCTGAGACCTGCTTCCTGGCACGCTGCTCCAGACCCTCTACCCACCTCCCTCAGCCAGGGCTGGGGTGCAGGGGCTGGAGCTCAGGCCCAGAGCTGCCAAACCACAAACACTCACATCTGGAAAAAATTCCCCTCCCAGCCCAACTTCCCTTTGTCTTACTTCTGTCTCTTTGGAACTTCTGGCCGCCAGGGCAGTGGGGGGAGTGAGGAAGTGAAGAGAGGGGACTGGGCCCAGACCTCCCTACCCCCACCCCAGGGAGCCCCCTTTCCAGCCTCCCCAGGATCCTCAGCCAGACCACATCCTCCCTCTGCTCCTGTAGGTCTGGCCTCCTGATGACCGTCTTTTGGGTGAGGTTTTAACATCCTGAGTCACCAGGCTTGCGGGGGAGAGGGCCTGGGCTGGCCCTTCTCTTTTGCAGTAGGAAAGATACCCACTGAGCCGAGGACTGGACCCTTCAGGCTGGGGGCTCAAGAGGGCTGGTGTGGAGAGGAGGTGGGCAGGTTGACCTGGTGGAGGAGGTGGGGGCAGTGAGGCGGAAGGAGGGGTGCTGGGGTTCCTGCCATGGTCCCTCCCCCAAGCCTCTCCTCATCCCTTTGGCTAGGAGCCTGATTTCACTGTCAGAACCTAATCCCCCTCCCTTTACCTACAGCAGCGAGAGCCTGCCGCTGGGGGAGGAACACTGGGCGGGCTGCAAGCACCCCCTAGGGGCCACCCCCTTCCCTCCACCACCTCCCACCTCTGCTTTTGTCTGTCCTTCCTCAAAGAGCTCCGACCTGCTGCCCTCCTACTTCCAGAAGCCCAGGCCACCCCCACCCCCAGATGAGCCCTCCCACACAAACCCTGAACCCTAAAGCCAGACTGAAGCATCCAGCTCCCTTCTGCAAACCTGACAGGTGATCGCCTCCCCCTGCGGTGGGGGGGAGGTGCATCGAGTCCCTTCTATCATAGCACCTCCATCCCTCCCGCTCAGGGGCACCCGAGCTGCTTTCCTGTTTCAACACATGCATTATTCAGAGATTTCCCTCTTTACAGCGCAGAGGCTCCAGCCTTCTCCAGTCCTTGGTGAAGCCTCCAGCCCCTCTGCTTTGGCTCTGTTCTTCCGACGCCTCCCCAGCCAAGGCCCCCAGCACGCTAGACCGTTCCAGGGCTCTAACGAAAAGGGTTCAGGACCTCAATGAGCCTGTCCTCGGCTCCTCCCGTGGCCACGCTGGCGGGGAGGGGCCAGCGCTAGGACGAGATGTGGCGTTTTTCCTGCCCGCCTCGCCAGGAGCTGGGAGCGCAGTCCTGGGCGGGGGGCGGGGCCGGGGGCGGGGGGGGGCGGGGCGGGCAGCGGGGCCACGTGCGCGCCTTCGCCGAGGGCCGCCTGCCCGTTGGCCTCGGGTCTCCCGGCCAGTCTCCGGGGCTCCCCGCTTGACCTCCTGTTTCGGGCTCCCAGCCCTCCCCACAGGGGTCTCGGCGGGGAGCTGGGCCCTGCCCCCTCCTTTGATCTCCGGCTTCGAAGCAGCTGGCGGAGGGGCGGCCGCTCCTTCTGCCCGTTGGACCGCGCGGGATTGTGACACCCGAGACCCCGCTCCACCCCTTCCCGGGGCACCCAGTCTCCCTCCAACCTGGGTGGCAGCGCGGCGCGCCGGGGCTCCACGCCTCCGTCCCCGCCTCCCCTCCCCGCCGCCTGCTGCGATCCCCTGGGGGTTCGGGGAGCCAAGCGACGGAGAAAGCGCCTTAATAAAGAGCTCGTGTCAAGTGATTGGCAGTGACCTCTGCCCCCCGCCCCAGCCTCGCGCCCGGGGCTCCTGCTTAACCCTTCGATGCCCGCCCAGCTCATTAAGAGGAAGGAGTCTCTCCGCGCCAACGTCCTGAGTCCCCCGGCACTGCGGCAGCCCTGAACCCCGGGGAGGCCTGCGCGGGTAGGGGGGCCGCTCCCTCCCACCCCCTCGAGCCTCTCCAGCAGGGGCGCCGTTGCCCCACTTGGGTGCCTGGCCCAGCCACCCCTGGCCTCCCCGGCCGCTCTCTGAGCCCGGGGCGGTCACGCTGGACCAGCTCAGGCTTCGGTGGAGCCGAGCCCTGCCGCCCGCCTCTTCCCTAGCGCCGGCTCGGAGCGGGGTTCGCCCGCTGGTAGTGTCGCCGGGTGTCCGGCGCCAAGGAGTCGAACGCGCCGAGTCAGGCTGGGGAGGGGCGGGGACCAAGCCAGCCGTGACCCTGGGGACGTGAGACCTGAGTATCTGCGCCCCGGGCCCGGCGCCCCCTCCTCTCGGCGGAGAGCCCAATCCGAGCGCTCTGCCCGTGTCGCCTCCCCAGCCATCCCTCGCGCGGGAGCCGGCTGCCTCGGCCCCCCGCTAGCCCCGGACCCGCCCACGGGGGGCCAGATCCAGAGGCGGGGGAGCGGGGCCTGAGGGCCCCCCAGGTGGGGTGGGGGCGGGGCGGGAGGCGGAGCCACCTCTCTCTCTCTCTGCCTCTCTTTCTCTCAGGCAGGGGCGGGCCCGCTCAGGGTATAAAAGCTGCCCGCGCGGGAGCCCAAGCCAACTCTGGGGTTGTCCTGGGACGTGTCCTGTCCTGAGTCTCACGACCAGGCGAAGGCGACCGCGACATCTCTTGTGACTAAAAGACTCAACGTCCGGTGCTCCACCCAAAGCATCTAAGGGGATCGCCACTCGCGCCTCCATCATGCCCAACTTCTCCGGCAACTGGAAGATCATCCGATCGGAAAACTTCGAGGATTTGCTCAAAGTGCTGGGTAAGGAGATTTTAGAGCTCCCGGGGAGCCAAGGGCGGCGCGGAGTCCTCCCGCACGAGAAAGAAAGCAGGGCGGGGGTCAAGGCGCGGGAGGTTGGGTGTCTGCGTCCCCAAGAAAAGGGGCCGAACGCTTGCATGGGGGGCTCGGGGCTCGGACATTTAGATCCTTTCTCCGGCGGGGCGTCCCCTCGCCCCCCGCCCCCATGCCAGTTCCTGCAGTGACCAGCCTGTGAACCAAGTAGAAACCAGACGCACGAGGTCGGTATCCCTGGGGGTGGGGCCGGGAGCTCTGGGCAGTTCAGAAGCTGCAAAACCCGCACCCAGGCTGGGGGCCTGGGTCCTTACTCAGCAAGCCCCTCGGAGCCGTTCCACCCTCTTTGCCCCCACCCCACAGCCAGTAGCCCAGCTGGGGGGCAGGTTCCTTATCCCTCTGCGCCGGGCTCCACCCTCCAGGTGATCCGCCAGCCCAGCTCTAACGGTTGCCCCTTCCCTCCCCATTCAGCACTTCCCACGCTGTGCCCCCACCCTCCATCTGTGACACAGATATTTTCCTACAGCGGGCAGCTCCGAAGTCCTCAGTCGCTCTGGATAATTATCACTTTCTTAGATTTCAACAAATGGTTTCGTGTGAAACCCCAACCCCCCATTTCCGAAAATCCCAGTTCTTGTCTCCCTCCCCCACCCCAGACCTGCTGCAGCCCAGCTGGGTGTGTTGGTTAAAGGTGAGGGAAAGTTAAACCTCCTCTAACTGCCTTTCCCAACTCTGTGGGCCCTCTGGTGTGTGGGGAGGGGCAGAGAGTGGGATCACCAGGAGGGGCTCTGGGAAGAGAGGGGAGTGAGTTAAGGACCTCAGCAATCGGGAAGCCCCCCCCCCCAGGAGCCCTGCAGCCCTGGATTTCTGGACTGAACACGGTGACCCCTCCCTTGAGTGGGAGGAGGCGGGGGGCACACCTTGTGCAGGGTGGGGTGTAGGATTGAGTCTGGACCTGAGAAGGGTCTGGAATGCTGTGTTTCCATATTCCTTGCCATTAGTTCTTTCGTCTAACCACAAGACTTCAAGCCCTGTCTTTCCCGCTCTCCACTTGCTGCAGTTAAACGCCAAAACATTTTCCCTTCAGAAAGCCTAGATGCTATTCCCTCCCCACCTCTGGATTCTGGCCCCTCTCCCCAGTGGATGAAGCAGGAGGTGGCCCGGCACACCCAGAGGCCCAGCTGGAGAATAAGAGCCAAAGCCCAGTCCTGTTGTCTGTCTTTGGTCTGTTTGTCCTCCCTGCGGGGTCTCTCCGAGCCACGTGCCCTCCTCAGGCCCTGCTGGGGGCAGATTGAAAACAGACCCATTAGACAAACAGCCCTGGCTGGAGTGGCATCTCCTTGGAACCCAGCCCTGCCCCTGCAGGAACCTCGGCCCCTCCTTGCCCCCTCTGCCCAAGTCAAGTATCCCTCTCCTGGTGAGGAATGCTCAGGTGTTTGGGAAAAACCTGTCCCACCCACTGCAGTAGGCAGGGTGCATGAGCAGGTTCTGCTCCTGTAACAGGAAAGACGAAAAAGGTAGGCAGTGTCAGGTGGGCTTCTAGGGGAGATGGGGTGGGGTGTGTCTGCTCTGCCAAGGCCACTGGATCTGAGAACCTCTCCCTGGACCCAGGAGATCAACGGCCCAGAAGGGGGTTCCTGGGGCTGCTGGGGGCGTCCTCCTGCTCTCCCGCTCCCTTCTTTCTGGAACAGAGTGGGTCTGTTCCAGTGCCAAGGGAAAAGAGGATTTGTTTCTCTAGGAACCCAGGGAGTCCTCTTGCCTGACCCAGCCCTGCTTGGCCCCCTCATCCCCACCCATTGCTTCCCTGAAGGTCTCTGCTCCAGCTGTGGGAGGGGGGGTGCACCAGGCAGGTGAAGTGGGCTGATGATGCTTAGACCTGGCCCCGGCCAGAAAGACCTTCCTGCCTGCTTGTCTTCTTGCTCTCCTGGCTTCTCCACCCTTCCTCGTGACTGGGAAGCAAAGAAGAGGGGCCCAGTTTGGGGAAGGATGTGAGGGACAGGCCCAGGGACTCTGAATCCACAGAGCCTGAACAAGACCTGACCACCTGAGTTCAGGGTGATCCTAGAGTAGGGAACATACTGGGGGAGGGGGGGAACGGGGTCCCTGTCTGTCCCTTGAGGGGAGAAGGGCACGGGAGCCCGCCAGGAGGCCGGGCAAGCAACGGTCTGATGCAGGGAACTTTGAGCCTCAGCTCTGGCTTTCTTTGGTTTCCTTTTCCCAGTAAAAATAATCGCAGCTATGGGCGCCTGGGTGGCTCAGTTGGTTAAGCGACTGCCTTCGGCTCAGGTCATGATCCTGGAGTCCCAGGATCGAGTCCCGCATCGGGCTCCCTGCTCGGCGGGGAGTCTGCTTCTCCCTCTGACCCTCCCCCCTCTCATGTGCTCTCTCTCTCTCATTCTCTCTGTCTCAAATAAATAAATAAAATCTTAAAAAAAAATAATAATCGCAGCTATAATAGCACAGTGTGCCTAGCGCTGTGTTTCTGGGTCCCACACGCGCCCCCCATTTGCCCAGGGTCACCTGGCCTGCAAGGGAGGCTGAGCCAGGTGGATGTCAGGGTCCAGTGGATCTTCCTGCAGAGCCTCTGGCTTCCCCAGGCTGGGGCCATTCTATAGAGGGGAACAGCGCCCCAGCTCGTCACCTGCTGAGAGTCCCTGCTCCTCACTGAGGAGAGGGACAGCGATGGGGTAAAGGAGGGTTGAGCTAGCACCAGACAGGGGCGGTGGTGCACAAGGCAGAAAGGAGACGAGCCCTAACTTCCGGGACAGGAGTGGTGAGGCCTGGCCGGGGAGGGTCTGGCCTGCTCTTGGCCCGGGGTGAAGACACAGTGACTCTGATGGGTCCACCCCCCGCAGAGGGTCGCAAGCAGGGTGGATAAAGGGCTACAAGTGAGGTGAACCGGGCCAAGGTGAGGTTGGCTGCTGGGTGAGGGGAGTGGGGAGAGGCTGCCCCTGAGAACACTGGGGTCCGGGCCTCCTGGTCAGCAAGGTGGGACCCCACGGGGTGCTGCCACTCTGCCCAAGCTGGGCCCTGGGAGGGGTGAGGCAGGGGCCCGGAGCGCCCTTGAAGGTGAGCCTCCCTCCTCTCCCTGCAGGGGTGAATGTGATGCTGAGGAAGATTGCCGTGGCTGCAGCATCCAAGCCGGCCGTGGAGATCAAACAGGAGGGAGATACTTTCTACATCAAAACCTCCACCACGGTGCGCACCACGGAGATTAACTTCAAGATCGGGGAAGAGTTTGAGGAGCAGACTGTGGACGGGAGGCCCTGTAAGGTGAGTCCCTCGGGGTCATGGCATCCGTTGCCCGGCCATTTTCCAGTCTTTTCCTGGATTCTCTGCTCCACTCCCAGTGGAGAAAGTCCCTCTCTCTCGCTGCTGCGGGCCCCACTCACGTGGCCTCTCTTGCAGAGCCTGGTGAACTGGGAGAGCGAGAACAAAATGGTCTGCGAGCAGAGGCTTCTGAAGGGAGAGGGCCCCAAGACCTCCTGGACCAGGGAGCTGACCACTGACGGGGAGCTGGTCCTGGTAAGGCCTGCCTCCTACCAGTCCAGCGCCGCCTTCGGGGGTTTTCTGGGACACTCCAGGGCGCAGGAGGTTCAAGATCAACTGTACTGGTCCCCCGCCTCCCGAGGGGGCTGCTGGCCGGACAGTGCCGCTCTGTGACCAGGACATGGTCCTCCGCGTACAGCGGATGCACACCGAGAGGCCCAGCATTCCTCTGGGCGACGACCCTCCTGGCCTGGGGAGGAGGGTGGAGGACAGAGCCCTGGGGCTCTATCACCATCCTCCCTCCTGTGACACCGGGGCATGTGGGGACCAGCTCCTGCCTGTTGGTCCTGAATCTAGAAGTAGGTTTGGTCCCCGAAGCCACAGGGACCACGAACCTTCCAGGTTAACGATGACTTCTGACTTGTGTCCTTCCAGACCATGACGGCGGATGATATTGTGTGCACCAGGGTCTATGTCCGAGAGTGAGCAGCTGTGGGTCCAAGAGCTGCCAGAGCCCCCAGCCCACCCTTCCACGCTCCCTGCCTCACTGCCCCTCCCTCCTTCCTTCTAGGCTAGCTCTCCCCTCACTCCCCTCCCCACCCCTCACTTCTGGGGATGCTGGGATGCCTCCAGCTGGGCTCAGGGTTGGATGGCAAGAGCCCAGATCACCCTTTCCAGAACACTCCCCCTCCCAAGCCAGCAGTCCCGAACCAGCCCAGAGCACAGCCTCTCTTTCTGGGAGGGGACCTGAGGGCCCCAGTGGGAAAGACGGCCCTCTGGCTTCCGCTTTTTGTCCCTGTAGCCGACACAGTGTAGAATATTTATTGGTTAATTTTATTAAAATGTTTAAAAAAATACAACCTGTCTCTGGCTCCCTGGGAAGGGGACAGATGAGTCGCCTGAGTTCCACTTTGCGTCTGAAGCATGTTGTGGGAAGCATGGTGTCCACAGCAGGACAGGTGGGCCACGGTGGTGGGGGGCTTCCCCTCACCCCACTGCCCACCCCTGCAGCCTCCTGCACTGCCCTGGTTCCCAAGGCTAGTCCTGGACTTCTCAGCAGGGGCGCTGGGCTCCGAGGAGCTGACTCCCACCTTCTCCCACACGTTCCTCCAATGTTCCTTCTCTCCTCCAACTCCAATCTGTGGGTGACCCCAGGCCTGGCCTTGGCCTCCCACATGGTTCCAGATGAGCTCACCAATGCCCACAGGCTGGCCTTGCTCCCGCCTGGGTCTCCTGATGAGACTCCGGTCCTGCCCGCCCTCTGGTTCTGAGACACGACTATCTCGGCCTTGAGACCTACACACCCCTTCTGCCGGCTCCCCCCCACCTTCCCACGCCTCCACGCTCAGGTCAAGGCTCTACTGCATCTTCCCAAGCTCCACGGTCATCTCCAGTGCCTGCCCTCCTTCCGCAGGCCAGGGCCCTCCACCGGGCCTTCTCCCGGCCCACCTGGTCTCATACCGCAGCACCTTCTAACGGGCCTGCCTGGCCTGCTCGTCCGTCTTCATGGCTTTGTGGGGGCAAGTGAGCACAAGTGTTGGAAGAGAGGTTCCTGTCCTGGTTCTCTCACTTGCTCGTTCCGTGACCTTGGACAAGCTACTCAGTTTCTCCGAGCCTTCGTTCTGTAATCCAATGGCTTGTTTGCTGGGGAGTGTCCGTGGGGGCCAGCCAGACCCAGCCAAGGTGGCCAGCGGCTTCCCCTGCCCCCTGTCCTGCTCATTTCTGTGTCCTTTGTGCACTGGCCACATTCAACCCTGTCAAACGGAACTCCTCCCTACCTCGTGGAAAACTGACTTCAGATGCCCCAAGCTCACGTGCTTACAGCTTGGGGTCCCCCCAAAAGAGAGATTCTCTCCCAGGGTCCATACCTTCATGCCAGAAGGGGTTTGGTTCTGCAGGGTCACATGACTGTTCTCCGGCCCACTTGCTGCGGACAGGGCCAGGGGCCCTGCGGAGGGACGGGTGGGGCAGAGCCCGGGGGCTTGGGAAGGAGCACTTCTCTGTGAGAAGAGTTGCTTTCTCAGACTTCTCATCTATGATCCAGCAACCATATAGAATGTCCACCTCGCAAAGGCATTGTAGCAGTTAAATAAGTCTCATTAAGTACATAGCACTTAGCAATAGTAAGCCCCCACAAAGCCAAGGTCCTACCTCTCTGACCCACCCTCCAAGATGCGGCCAGGAGGCAGGAGGGGGGTGGTCCTTCAAAACGTAAGCTGTATTATGTCAGTGCCCTGCTCAGAAACAATAAGACAAAACAAAACTCACCTTAGCCACAGCCCCTCTTTTTGTGCAGACTACCGTGCAGACCGGTATTAGCGGCCATCCCAGACGTGGCCCCTAGCCCTTCCTGCATGAGCTCCTCCCCTGCACATGCCACCTGCTCGCCCAGGGGCACCCAGCGCTTCTCCAGAGCTTGGCTTCCCGCCTGGCCCGAAGCGGCCTCTCCCACAGGCAGTGCTGACAGCCACTGGTCACGCTTCATGGCCTGTGTGCGACAGGTGAGCCTCCTCTCCCTGCGAGACCAGGGTGCCCTGGGGCCAGGCGTCCGGCTCCTGCCCCAGGGAGGCCACGTGCTGCAGCTGAGGGCAGAGGGGTCAGGGCCAAGGAGTGGGGGGACAGTGTAAAGAGTCCCGGGGCAAGCCGGTCCCCTCTCTGAGTGTGGGGGGCCCTTTCACCGGTATAGCCAATTAGTGTTTCCCGGGAGTCTCCTGGGAGCCGGGCACCGTGCTGGGTGCTGGGAACGCAGAAATGCATCCCATGGGCAAGATTCCCTGCCCTCCTGGGGCCTGCAGGAGGGCACAGTCCTTTAGTGGGAAGAGATGATGAAACCATAAATACACCCCTCAATTCCTGAGTGCACCCCATGCAGGTGTTGGAGGGAAAGGGGGCAGAGGGAGGGAGAGAGCACCAGGGGAGACCTCACTTAGGCTGGGGGCAGGTGGCCATGTTGGGAGAACAGGTGTTTGGGAGGACAAAGAACTTCGGGGGGCCTGATGGACACAGTGGGGTGAAGCAGAGGGGAAGGTACTCTAGGCAGGGAGAACCACAGGGTGAAGACCCCAAGGACAGTTTGGGTCTCTCCAAGGTCTGGGGACTGGAGTGCAGGGCAGCAGGGGCCTTTAGGGGCCAGGATGTGCGGGACCTGAGGGCCTGAGGGCCCCAGTCCATATTTCTTATTTGCTTTCAAGAGCAATGACAAGCCACTGAAGGATTTAAAGGGGGCGGCATCCCACATGTGCTTTAGGAGTCCCCTCTGGCTGTCAGGTGAAGATGAATGGAGAAAAGCGGGCGAGGGGACGGAGCCAGCAAGAGGCTAGGAGAGGCCGGAGCATAGGGCGGAAAGTCAGGGACGGGGGAGACCCGGTGAGGCATGAGGCAGGAAGGAGGGATGAGAGAAAGGGGGGTGTCCTGGGTGGCTCTCTGGCTCTGGTCCTGGGGGGGCTGTTTTTAGAAACAGAGAAATAAATCTGGGCCTTCTGGATGCCAGTTTTGTTTCTTTGAATCCAGAAGCATCCTAACTCCTCAGCCTGAGGCCCGGCTTCATCTCTGTTCTGATCACCTCCTCCCCTCCCACCCCATCCCTGACCTCAGCTCCCGCGGATGCCCATCCAATCTGCTGACTCCCCAGCCCACCCTTCCCACCTTAGCTTGACTCCCATGCCCACCCTGGAGGACCTTTACTCAAGCTCTCCCTGCCCTTTCTCATGCCTTTGTGGCTGGAGCATCTGCTCTTGTTTTTCTGACCAGTTTGTCTCTTTCTAGAATCAAGTTGCCGAGGAGAAGAGGGATGTGTCTATTTCCAAAGAAGTCCTGGAGGGCAGGGGCGGGGTCTCCCCCATCAGACTGGGGGCTCCTGGAGGGCTGGTACAGGGTCTCCCCCATCAGACTGGGGCTCCATGAGGGTGAGGCCCTCCCCCTGGCTCTGTTTCTGTACTCCCCGCCCTCCAGGCTGAGATGACAGGGAAGTTACAGTCCTGGACCCAGGAGATGGGATCAGGGAGGGGCCGCCTCACCCATCTGGCCCAGCCTGGCCCTACCTGTGAGAAAGTCCCTCCAGCTTCCCCTCCCACCCTGAAGGCCCTCTTCCTCTTCTTCCGTTACCTGGGCCTTCATTGCTCAGCAGTGCTTTTAGAAGAAAATGCACAGGAGCCCCTATCCCCTGCTTGCATCCCCCAAATTCTGTGGGCAGAACCTTCTCTCCAGTCAGGCTTCTCAGAGTTCAACCGCAGAGGGGGCAGCAGAGGGGCCCCGGGCCACCGAGCCTCCTCTTGTCCTGAACCGAGGGCCGCCGGGAGGGCCAGAGAAGGTAGGAGGGCAGGGGCAAGGGAGGGGGCTGTGGGACGCCGCCCTGGGGTAGGGTGGCTGCCGCGCATAGCAGGGGCCCTGACCCACACGGGGACAGCCTGCACCAACATCTTAGGGAAACCGAGGTCCACACACACACACTCTGCAAGAGACAGGAGCATGGGGCTGAGACTGACCTAGCAACGTCAAAACCAAGAGAGTCAGGGCACAGCCAGACCGAGGAGAACTAAGCCTGCGGAAGCCGGGGCCCCAGGTGCCCCGGAGGCCCCCAGGACCCAAAGGCAGCTCCCTGCCCCTGTGTGGCAAGAAGAGCCAAGTTGCAGGAACCCACCGGGGAGGCTGGGCAGAGTGGGCCAGGCGCCGGAACCCCTGAGGGTGCTGAGGAGAGGGAGAGGCCTGGCCGAGGGGACGCAGGGGTCAGGGAGGGGGGGAATCCAGTGGGGAGGGGAGGGTACTGAGGGCCCCAGGAGTGGGAGTCAGAGGAGGGGGGCGTGCTGGTCAGGCCCTCTGACCCCAGGTCCCGACAAAGGGCCGCCTGAGGACCGCCGCAGGCGCAAGATGGATGGGACCGGGGCGGCCAGGCCTTTTGTGGCGGGGGATGAAAGGAAGCAGGCTCCGAGGTCCCCCAGGTCCCCCCCCATGCCTGTTGGCTCCCCTGTCCCTCCCCCAGTGACCTCAGGGGCCTTGGAGTGTTGGGGGGTTAGGAAGCGGGCGGGGGAGGAGCTGAGTCCAACCAGGTATTTCCCCTGGCTGGGCCAGCCGCACCTGGGAAAGATGGGGGGCAGGCAGGAGGACGGTGGGGGCCTGGGCTGCCCTTTGGTCTCTGCAGAAATGGAATCGGTGTGAGTAAGATGCAGTGTCTCTGCCCCCACCAGCAAGGCCCCCAGCAGAGCTGGGTGAGACTGTGGTCCTAGCGAGGGCAGGGGTCCCCCGGGCGGGCGCTCCCCCCTCTCCTGCAGGCCCGCTGCCCTCCTGACCTCTTGGCTTCTTCCGGTCCCTGTCCCCCTCGGCGCTGCCAGTCGAGAAACCAGTTCTGTGCTTGTGCTGGAGAAGGATCTCTGGGCTGACTGGGCGCTTCCCCGGCAGCGGCAGGAACCTGGCAGGCCGACAGCACCCCGCCCCCCGCTAGGGCCGCTGGGGTCTCTGCCACCCCCTTCCCAGCCTGCTTCCCCTCCAGGGAGACTTCTCTTCTCCTCCGAGCAGCCTTGTACGGGGCAGGGTGGGTCCCCTCCTCCTGCCCCCCCCCCCCCCGCGCCTTTCCCCCAGGCTCCCCACAGGGCCCTGACAATCGCTCCCCACAGCAGGGTCAGCCCCTGGCCCAGTCACTGGCACGGAAGGGGGCAGGGTGAGACAGGGTTGACCCCACTTAACCCCAGCCCATGGTCTCCTCCTGAACCATCACTCAAGTCCCAGGACATTCTGGTCCCTTTCTCATCACCCAACTCCGCCAACGGGAAGGGACTTTCAAAGGCCATCTCCTCCATCTTTCTGCCTCCTCCTTAAACGTCTGCCTAACCTCTGCCCCTGCCCAGCGCCCCAGAAACCTCAGACCACTCCTAGCGCCTCTGCCAACCTTTCACAGGCTTGGCCAACCTCCCCCAACTGCCCCCAGGGCACTGGCCGGCCGTTTGCAGGGGGCGTGGGAGATCAGAAGGCAGGGAGGAAGGCCGGGGAGACCTGGGGCCTCTGGAGGAGACGGGACTCAGGTCTGAGCTCCCACCCCCACCCCCGGAGGTGAGCAGGTGTGTCAAGCCAGGCTGGGATTCAAGCTGGTGACTCAAGCCAGAGCAGACAGCTGCACAGTCCTCAGCAACCAGCCCTCCCTCCCGCCGCCCGAGGTGGAGGAAGCTGGGAATTCTAGAAGCAGAGAACAGAGTCCCAGAAGGAAGGGCCCTCAGGGATCATGCCCCTCCTTTGTCTGAGAGGAAACTGAGGACCAGAAAGGGGTGTGGCCTGTTTGGGGGGTCGCTCAGGCAGCAGGGAAATCACTGGTGCCACAAAAGGGGGCTGTTTGGGTCCAATACAAACCAGCTCAGTCCCAGCAGGTGTCAGCTGGGCCCCTCCACACCCTCTTGCTCTCCAGTGAGGGGAGTGGGTTCTTCAGGGTGGAGAGAACTCTCCCTGCAGTCTGTTTTCTGTCTCTCACCCTGCAGTGGGGCAAGCAGGTGCTCCTCGCTGGGCCCCTCTCTTCTCCTTCTGGGCCACAGATTATGAGGCCAGGACAGGTGCCGGGGCTCTTTGGTCTCAGGTGGGGGATTATAAGCTAAGGTTTCAGCAGGAGCCTAAAGGCAAGGGTATCCCGGGCTCAGCCCAGAGCGGCCTGGGGAGGGAGAGCCACCGTCCCGGGCCCAGCATGGGGGCGGGACACCCAGCCCCCATCCATCTCAGCCCACCCGGGGATGCGTCTGAGCATCAGGAAGCCTGGGGGCCTCCCCGACCTGGGTGACACAGGGGGAAGGTATCGCCGTCAGGGGTGCCTGCAAAGCCAGGAGCCAGGCCAGGCCAGGCCCTTCACAGACGGGCAGCATTTATCCCCCTGACAAACATTTTCAGAGCTCCCCTCTGCACAGACCCCGCGGTGGCCGGAGCCAATGCGATCCCTCACACAGCTTTCGTCATCCCCCAGCCACTGAGGAAATGTTCTCTGACCCCCTGCGAGGTGCCCAGCGTGTCATTCCACAGGCCGCCTGGGCTCTGGAGCCAGGGTGGGCACTTGGAGCTCGCTGTGCGGGACAGGGTACCGAGAAGGACGGCCCTCTCCTGCCCCTGGGGCCTCTGCCAGCCTCAGGCTGCCTGGGGCTCAACTGCGGCCTCTCCTCCCACCGAGCAGAGGCTAAACTTTTCAGACAAGCTTTCCTGTAATTGTCCTTCTGTCATCACAGCTCCTGACGCAGAAACCAGCCAAGGGACTGTGGAACTGCACAGGCAGAAAGGTGAGGTCTCCCCCCAGCAGCCCGTCGCAGGGCAAGAACGTGGGCCACAGCCCAGCCGGGGCCAGGGACTCGCCAGAGGAGAGATTCACCCTCCACAGCCCTCTCTGGCTCACTCCTGCCCTTTGCCCCCATCCCTCGGGGGAAGTCCTTCCTCAAGGCTAACTTAAGTGCCTCCCCTGCAGCGTCCGCTCTTCAAGGGGACGGAACCCAGAGGACAGGCTCCGGTCTCCAGTAGCTTCAGGGACCAGGCAGGGGAGTGTGTGGGCGCGGCCGGGCGGATCACTGGCTGCTCCCACCTCCCTCACCTTTCTTCCCTTGCTCTCCACCAAACTCTCCCGGCCCTCCCCTCGCCTCAGCCCCCAACTTGGGCTCCTGGCTGGGAGCCAGCATTGTTCCTGCCCAGCTCCCCGCTCGCCTCCTCCTTCCCTCCCTGGGCACCCGCCTGCCCCATCCCTGCGAGCCCGGGCTGGGGGCGGGGGGAGCAGGACTGCTGGTCTCAGGCTCCGCTTCCTCCTCACGCCGACTCCGACAGAGAGGGCTGCGGAGCTTGGGTTACTTGGGGCCCCCGGTTATTTTTAATGCCACCAGCTCACAAGATAAATATACCCTCCCCTCCCCCCGAGCTGCCCGGACGGAGCCCCTCCTTCTCTGCCATTCACCCAGGTTCTTCAGACCGGGCTGGCTTCTAAGGCCTTCCCCTCACATGCCCTCCTAGTGGGCCCCCCTCAGCCCTGGACTCCCAGCAGAGAGACAGCATGGCCCCCAAATCCCATAGATGACAGGGGAGGTGTCCTGGCTCCACCTAATGCCATCTTGAGACCTGTGCCCAGCAAAGGGCTCCCAGCGGAGCCTCCCCCTGGGAGGGGAGGCTGGGGCAGGCCTCCCAGAGCCTGGGGAGCAGGGGGAATTGGCGCTGGACAGGAGTCGCTCCTGCAGGTGGGGCCCCAGGGCCCCTCTCCTACTTGGCCAGGGGCCAGGGGTGGGGTGGGGTGGGGCTGGTGGAGGCCCCTGCTGCCTCCTGTCTTATCCCACTCTGCTCCTGGTAGGTCCCACAACGCAAGTTCTGCCTGCAATTAACTTCTTGCCTCTTGCGTTGGTCCAGAGAACATTCTGACAATAGTTCAGGGCAGGAACTGCAGCTCTCCAGGGAGGGCAGAAGAGGGAGCCTGGGATCAGGATGGACTGCTGTTCATTCCTAGACTGTTGGAGTGCCGGGAGGGGAAGCCGCCAAGGCCCTCAGGACAGATCCCAGGTGAATCAGCCTGCAGCAGGCGGCTGGTCTGTGCACCAACAGGGCATTGTCTCCCTCGGTAACACCTGCTGCAGGACAGAAGCAGGTGACGGTCGGTCGCCTCTGTCCGGGCTGGCCTCTGGCCACACAGCTTCCACCTCACAGGCCTGTTTCCTGGACCCACAGAAGAAAAGCCTGGGCCCTTTTACCCAAGAGCCCCCACAGGCCCAAGATGACCCGTCCTCTGTATTTATTTTCAAATGCTTCATGCACTCTGTCATCAAGAATTTTTTTAAAAAATTTTTAAAGATTTTATTTGACAGAGAGACAGCGAGAGAGGGAACACAAGCAGGGGGAGTGGGAGAGGGAGAAGCAGGCTTCCCGCCGAGCAGGGAGCCCGATGCAGGGCTCGATCCCAGGACCCTGGGACCACGACCCGAGCCGAAGGCAGACGTTTAACGGCTGAGCCACCCAGGCGCCCCTGTCATCAAGAATTCTATTACACGCAGTGGCACACCTCTCGAGCCCCTGTATCTCTGACCTTCTCCACAGAGGGGACCGCCGTCCTCTCCTTGTTTTATCCTCTGCTTGCTTTCCAGACATACTTTGACTATGTCCACAGGACACACTGTTTTGCAGGGTTTTGAACGTTTAGGTTCTGCCCCTGGCTTTTCCTTCTCCGCGTGAGGCTTGTGAGCTTCGTCCACGGGGCTGTGATTCCACAGTTGTATCAAATGAACACACCTCATGGCCGGAAAAAATCAAACGCCTGATGGCGCCAAGAGGATGCGGAGCAATGGGACCTGCTTGTGCCCCGCTGGTGGAGAGCGAACTCGCACACCCACGTTAGAGAACGGTGAGGCATCCTTTGTCCAGTGAAGATGTGCGTTCCCTCCCAGACGGCGCCTGTGGGCCAGGAGGCCTGGGTGAGGGTGCCTGGGAGGTGTCGGGCACCAGGACCCACGTCCCCACCTCCCTCACCCAATGCTCCACTTCACAGGCAGACGTGAGCTCCTGGGGAGGACCAGGCACCGGGCAGGCAGAGGTGAGCAATCTGGGTTCAGGCCGGGGAGGTATTACTGTCCCACCTTAGATGAGAAGCTGAGACTCAGAGAGTTTAGGCGTCTCTGCAGGACTCCGACTCGGGTGTGACTCAAGAGCTGGCAGTCTGGACAGCCCTGCCCCACTGCTCCGGGGGCCTGCGTGCCCACCAGGCATGCGGCGGGGTGTCTGTGCCCTCCGTCAGTGGGGTGCCCCGGCCCAAACTCCGCCCTGGGGTGTGGTCTGTGAGGCAGCAAACACCTGCCGGGAGCTCCGTGTGGGCAGGACATCCAGGCACTGGCGGCCCAGCCCGCGCCCCCCATCCCACCTCCAGTGCACCCCCAGCAGCTCCCCTGTCCTTCTCTGTCCGCTTCTCCCAAAGCTGGGTGGGCCGGTGGTGGTGGGAGAGAGAGACTCAACTCTAACCAGGGGAGAGGGGCTTGAGTCCCAGGTCGGTCACCACCTGGCTCCGTGTGGCCCACAGTGGCCCCGAGTGAGATGACAGGAGAAGCATGAGGGACGTAGAGACTGGACTTCTCCACGGGTCCCCTCTGACTCATCCTGTGATCCCACCATCTGCTTCATTCCCGGAGAGAGGGACGCGCCGTCCGAATTCTGATTGTGTGGTCTTGGATAGGTGACTTAACCTCTTGAGTTGTCTCCTGCAGTGGAAATCATGGCCGATCACAATAATGTTACCTGCCTCACTCCCTAAATCGTAGTTTTTAGAAATTCGGTTTCAGGGGAGGATGTGGCGCTTCTTGAGGCAACAGCGGCCCCTGGTGGCCTCGCCCCACGACAGGGCACAGACCCGTGCTCACTGAGCCAGGAGTGGGAAGGCTGCCTCTTTGCGGGGTGCTCACCGAACCCCAGACGCGGAGGGCCGGAGATGGAGAGGGACAGCGCGTCTCTGGACCTTCTCTCCCAGAGCAGCCTCATCCACGCTCATGCCCGCCCCCCCCATCTGCCCCGCTCTGCCTTCATCCTTCTAAATCGGAGCCCCGCCCTGCACACCTCCCCAGGCCACAAGCAGGGGGTCTTCACGGTCCCTCCGCTCCATCCCCACATCTCACTCTTCCTGGAGCTGACATTCTAAGTATTCCCACATCTCTTTCCCCCTCTCCACTCCCGGGCTCGGGTCTCATCATGTCGAAGCTTGGTGGGGGCATCGGCCTCATGACGGGCCAGGCTGCCTGTCTCTCCCACCGCCCCCCCACCCCAGTCCTCCGCAGTGATCTTCCTAAGATGCACATCTGACCAGGTTACCCCTCGACTGAGGTTAAAACCCTTCCATGGCTCCTCACTGCCTTGAGGGCAAAGGCCCCACTTTAACCACACTGCATCCTGCTTTGCCTGCCTGTCTACGGATCACACTCTGCAGCCCCATGTGTCGGATAGGCCCAGACGCTCCCGGGGATGGGGGTCCACATGAGTCCTCCGTGGTTCCTTTGCAACATTTATTCAGTGCGTATGGTGCCCCTAGCATTCAAGAGGGGTTTGTGAATACTGTTCCAATACATGAATGAGAAAACCCAGAAGGGTACGCTGACGCCTCCAAGTGGCCTAGAGGGACTGGGCTCTTTGTTCAGTGCTCTCTCCACCCTACCTGCTGTCTCTCCATCAGCCCCCTGGCCAGGAGGAGAGAGGGCCAAGCCGGCCAATGCCAGCCCCATGCCCGCTAGCTGGAAGGAGCGGGACAGGGAGGCAAAGGGAGGGGCTAAGTTAACGATAGATGCCCTGGGCTCTGCGTTCTGAGGCAAAGAAGGTGGGAGAGGAGAGGTAACCAAACTGAGACCCTCTGAGATCTCCCTGACCCCCTCTCCGGTCCCTTCAGGACATCTGGCAGACCCCCTCCGAGATTCTTTGTCCTCCTAGGAGGGGGAAACGGGTGAGTGTTGCTTACCCAGTGCTGTAATCAGCCCCCCTCAGGCATGGACCTCCCCCGGGGCGGGTCCTTTCATGGAGTCCTCTTGGCACACCAAACCTCACCTGTCCCTCCCTGGGGCCCCCTCTATCCCCCGCCAACCCTGTCCACAGTCTGTTTCCCTTACTCAGCGAGGCCCAGAGGGCAGGTGAGCAAACTCCCGGCCCAGGAGTGGGACACCAGCGTGCCCTTCAGGCGGACCCCCACCCCTGAGGACTGGTCCCCTTGGGAGCCCACACCTACTCGCCTTGGGGGGCATCACACTTCCCCTCTGAGCCAAGGAGGGAGAAGCTGCAGCCTGCCTTCCAGGGCTGGCCTGCAGCCCAACGTGGCCGTCCCCATGTAGACGGGGTGCAGAGCCTTCCCGGCGGCTGTGGGAACGCTCTTCCGGGGGTGTGTGGTGCTCAGAGGCTGCCGCTTTTAGCTTTGGAGCTTAGCTGGGACATGAGTGTATTGAGAAAGTCTTCATGAAACCTTACTCCAAGTTCTCTTGCCGCCCCATCTTCTTCCTCTGAGATCAATTCCAACCTCTCAAGGTCCCTCTTAAAATATGGTATCCAGAACAATCCTCCATGTACAGAGGGCAAGGGGGCTCTCACCTCTGGTCTGCACACTCTGGGTCCGTTAATGGCTTACTTGGCTGGGCAGCCATTTTACAGTGTTGGTTCATGACAGCTGTGGTCTGCTAAGACCCTCAGGCTGTCTTCAGTGGATCCGCTCTCCTCTTCACTATTCCTTTCTTTTTTTTTTTTTAGATTTTTTTTTATTAATTTATTTGAGAGCGAGAATGAGATAGAGAGAGCATGAGACAGGGGAGGGTCAGAGGGAGAAGCAGACTCCCCGCCGAGCAGGGAGCCCGATGCGGGACTCGATCCTGGGACTCCAGGATCAGGACCTGAGCCGAAGGCAGCCGCTTAACCAACTGAGCCACCCAGGCGCCCCTCACTGTTCCTTTCTTAGGCTGTTGCCTTTGAAACCAAAAGCAGATTTTTACATTTATCCCTACTAAACGTCATCTGGTTCATTTTTTTCTATCTGTATATTGGACAAATGCGGCTTCTAGGCTTTCACCTGGGTCTTTAACAAAAATCTGCGACAGTTAAGACGGAGGACAGAACTCTGCAAGAAGCCCCACGGAGACTTCCTCTGCCTTCTGAGGAACATCTCTGGGGATGGCCACTGAACTTTGTGTCTGCCCACTGTAGTATCATGTGGTCCATGTGTCCTGGGCCCGGGCCCAGAAGAAGTGCAGCCAAAGGCCTCACAAAAATCCTGTAATCCAGTGCAACCCCGGGGGAGGGGGAGAGGAGGCCATTTGGGCCTCCATGCGCCCACGGAGGGCCTTCTTTTCCTGAATTGGTCATTGCTTCAAATATCACTTACCTGTTTACAACCTGCTGAGCGTCGATGTGGCTCTGTCAGGCCGTGGAGGCTGGAACCCACTGTCTCCTGCCTTTGGAAAATCAATACCACTCTTCTCAACATTCTAGAGCATCTTTGCTCCCCGTGGTCCCCAAACTCACCACCAGTGTTCATGGGAGAGTTTGCTCCAGTGTAATGGCTTTCGTGGGGATGGTCTTCAAAGACTTCCCCACACGTGGCTTGCTTGATCTTCGGAACAAGCTTATGGGAATGGGTATTAACCTCCTTTACCAACCAGATACACTGAGAGTCCCTTGGAGAAGTTACGCAATCTGCCCAAGGTCATTTAGCCAGAAAGTGCAAAAGTCAGACGCGGGGCTCTCTCCTGGACACAGGTCTTGGGAGCCCACAGCCCGGGCCAGACAGCAGGCTTTGTGGGGTAATGTGAGAATAGAGAAGCCTCAGCCTCAGGTCTGCACTGACCCTCAGTCAGTCCCCCTTTCTACACCCACTGACCCCTCCCGGGCCTCCGGTCCACGATTGGTAGTGGATTCCAAAGCCCAGCTGCCCTGGGGACAGGGGTGGAGGTATTGGTGGGATGGCCTTCTGGTCACTGTTCTACCCCCACCCAGAAACCCTGTCCATGCTCTGTGCTCCCCAGTTCTCCGTGGACACTTTGGGAGCTAAGTACTGTTTTTTTTTTTTTTTAAGTTTTTGTTTGTTTGTTTTTTAATTTGACAGAGACACAGCGAGAGAGGGAACACCAGCAGGGGGAGTGGCAGAGGGAGAAGCAGGCTTCCCCCAGGGCAGGGAGCCCGATGCGGGGCTCGATCCCAGGACCCTGGGATCATGACCTGAGCCGAAGGTAGACGCCCAACGACGGAGCCGCCCAGGCGCCCCAGGAGCTAAGTACTGCAATAATCTCGCTATATTTATCCCCACCAGCTGACCCTGAGCGTCCATCCCTGCTGCCTTCACAGACCAAACTATGAGCCCCTCCGGCGATGGCGGCTGACACATCACAGGCAGGGGTTAACACTTCCTAGCCTAAACTGGGTTTACATGAGCAGCAGTTCCCTCCCCAGAGATCCCCTCCGTCCCCTTGTGGCCCTGCTGCCCTTTACTCTGCGTTCTCCACACCTTACCTGTCCCTCACTTCCTAGCTCAAGGGCGCCCTCCTCCGCTTCCAGAACTGCAGAATCCTCAAAGGGATGTTTTGCGGATTCAGTCAGGGAATGCCAGTAAGATGTTAGAACACGACCCGGCCCCTTACAAAGGCTCAGGAAACGGGCTGGTTGCGAGGCAGCGGGCCTCTTCTTTCCGCCTGCTTCCTCCTCCGGGCCTGGTCTGCGCACCACCAGGGGGCCCCCTCTGCCCATGAAACCCTCCCGCCCCCGCCCCACACAGCGAGGGAGGGATGGCGCCCCTTTGCCTGAGAACTGGGGGAGGCCTTGGCCTACCTGAAACGCGGGTTCGTGAGCCTCGGGCCCCACGGAAGAGCGGTAGGAAGGAAGGATGGAGGTGAGTCGGGGGCGCGCAGCCCTCCCCGGACCTCCCGGGTTCCCGGCGTGTGCGCGCGTGCTGCGCCCTCCCAACAGAACGTGTGTGTCCTTCTGCCCTCTCTCTGCAAGGCCGCCTTCCCCCGGCATTTCTGGCAGCAAAACAGACCAACGGCCAGCGGCCCCGTGAGATGCCCCTCACTGCTCCCATTTTACGGATGAAGAAACCGAGTCTTGAGTTCCGGAAGTGGTACCGCTCCGGGGTGTGCTGGGTAACAGAGACTCGCCCCGTCCCACCCCCTCCCCCCACCCGGGCCTCGGTCCCCGGGGCCCCCTCCACAGGCCCAGGTCTGGGCACGGCCTCCTTCCCCAGAAAGCCACTCGGTGGGATCGGATTCCCCGGGCAGCCGTCCAGATCGGCTCCAGGCTCCGGCACAGCGCGGCGCCCGGACGCGGGCCCGGCCCGCTTCCCGAACTCCAGGGGTTAAGGCTCGGGTCCCGCCCCTTTTCCCGCCTGGCTGGCGGGAGTATGAATAGCCTCGTTCCCACTCCCGACGTTCAGTCGCTCGGCTGCTCCTCGCTCCGCCCCGCCATTGTCCCCGCCGGGCTCCCTTCTCCCTCCCCGTCCGTCCTAAGAGCTCTGAGAGTTGCTGGCTTCTCCCGCCGCCCCGCGTCTCTCCACCTTCGGTGGGTCAGACTTGCGAGCAAGATGGAGGGCTGCCTGGGGGAGGAATCTTTCCAGATGTGGGAGCTCAACCGGCGCCTGGAGGCCTACCTGGCGCGGGTGAAGGCCCTCGAGGAGCAGAATGAGCTGCTCGGCGCGGAGCTCGGGGGCCTCCGGGCACAGACCGGGGACGCCTCCTGGCGCGCCCGTGCCGACGACGAGCTGGCGGCCCTGCGGGCCCTCGTCGACCAGCGCTGGCGGGAGAAGCACGCGGCCGAGGTGGCGCGCGACAACCTGGCGGAAGAGGTGGAGGGCGTGGCGGGCCAGTGCGAGCGGCAGCGGCTGGCGCGGGAGCGGGCGGCGGCCGAGGCGGCCCGCACCCGGCGTGCGGCCGAGGCCGAGAAGGGCGCCCGGGCGCGGCTGAGCTCCCGGGCGGCGCAGCTGGAGCGCGAGCTGGAGGCCGTGTGCGCGGCGCACGAGGAGGAGCGCGCCGCCCTGAGCGCCCGGCCCCGCGCGCCCGGCCGCGCCGCCGCGCCCCGCGGGCCCCCCGCGCCCGCCCCGGAGCTGGAGGAGCTCACGCGGCAGCTGGGCGACGCGTGGCGCGGGGCCGTGCGCGGCTTCCAGGAGCGCGTGGCGCGCATGGAGACGTCGCTGGGCCAGGCCCGCGAGCGCTTGGGCCGCGCCGTGCAGGGCGCCCGCGAGGGCCGCCGGGAGCTGCAGCAGCTGCGGGCCGAGCGCGGCGGCCTGCGGGAGCTACGGGCGGCGCTGGAGCAGAGGCTGCAGGGCGGCTGGCAGGAGCGGCTGCGGGCCACCGAGAAGTTCCAGGTGACCGGGGGGGGGGGGGTCGGGGAGCCGCGCAGGCCCCGTGGGGCCAGGGGCCCGGGAGCGCGGTGCGGGGTGCGGCTGCCCATTCAGGGGCCGCTTCAGAAAGCCCGTAGTGGTGCCGGAGGCCCTCGACTCTCCCAACTTTGTCTGGAGTCGGGTGGGGATGGCGGGCTTCGGAGCCGTGCGGAAGAGCACACCCCTGGCCGGCGCCGGCGGGCAGCGGAGCGGCCTCCTCCCTGGCCGGGGCCGCGGGCTTGTCCCCGCCTCTGCTGTCGCTCCGAAGATGCGCGGGCCACCACTCCCAGCCCCCAGCTCCCCCAGCGCTGAGTCGGCCCCGTTCCTAGCCGCCCTCCTCCCCTCGACAGGAGGGAGTCAGGGGCCCTCGAGGCGCGGCCACCAACCGGCCCTACTCCCTTGTCCCAGCTTCTCAGCTCCCCCCAGCACATTCCAGAAGCCGGGACAGCTGCTCCCCCTCACCCCGCGCAGATGGGACCAGCAGCTGGGAAAACAGCCTCCCGCCTGGGCCAGACAGAGGTCTGGCCACGGCCACCTCCCACCCCTTCTCTGTGAGGAGAAAGATTCCAGAACATGTGGGAAGTGGAGGGGGTGGGGGCCTGGTGTGAGGACCGACCAGGAGACAGTGACTGGGACCGTGCTCCAAGCCTCTTGATTAATCGTTTTTCCTTCTGCGTTCGCTTTCTCTCCCTCTCCTCTCTGTAAGCATCTCCTCTCCTCCCTCACCTCCCCCTCCTGTGGGAGCTGAAGTCCCGTTTCCGCTCCGCATCCTCAGAGAAGGAGCCGGCCCATGGGAGAGCCCGGGAGGCCATCAGCCTCATCTTGGGGGCTCCAGAGGGGGCGCTCCGGGCAGGACGGAGGGGGTAGAGGCAGGAGTCGGTCAGGGAGCAGGCTAGTTAGTGGGGGGCCGGCCCTTCACGGGCTGCCTCCCCTTGTTCTGCAGCTGGTGGTGGATGCCCTGGAGCAGGAGAAGCAGGGCCTGCAGAGCCAGATTGCCCGGGTCCTGGAAGGTCGACGGCAGCTGGAGCACCTCCAGATGTCCCTCAGCCTGGAGGTGGCCACATACAGGTATGGGTTCGTTGGGCCCACCCAGGTGCAAGGATGCACACGCGCTTGCAGGCCGAGCTCCGCCCAAGGAGCCCAGAGCCATGGGTGGTGGCCACTGGGCTACCGCTAGGTTCTGTGACTCTGGGCTGATTCCTACCGCACCAGGACGGGTTCCACCCGAGCCCACCTGTTCCGCCGTGGGTTCGGGACCAAAATAGTCTCCTGTGCCTGGGAAATCTCCCAAGGAGAGGCGAGGCTGCTGAGTGGGGCGGCCTCAGGAGAGACAGCTGGACACACGTGGGGCCTCTCCATCCAGAGCGCTGCCAAGGGGCTGAAAAGCCAAAGTGTGTGTGTGTGTGTGTGTGTGTGTGTGTGCGCGCGCATGCGCGTGCGCGCACAAACTCACGCTGAGGCGATGATGTCCTTGGGCAGCCCCACCAAGGAGAAATTGCAGGTTGGGGGTGGGGCACCTGACCCGGGCCTCAGTCTCCTTGTCTGGAGATGGGAGATGCGAGGGGTGACATCCAAGGCCCTTCCATCCTGAATGTCATGGGCCTGACTCCCCTCGAGCCCTAGCGCCCTGGCTGTGCCCAGCCCTTCTGCTGATCACATTTCCTGTTGGCTCCAGAAAGGCTGAGACCGAGCAAGTGCTGCCTCTCTCAAAGCCACAGTCTCTTCTGGGAAACTGGCCTGTCCGGCTGAGGACCCAGTGATGGAGCCTGAGGACGGGGCTTTGCCACAGGGTGGGGGCTGGGGCTGGACATGCAATGAGGACAGTACCCGGAGAACTCATAGGCCAACTAAGACAGCGGCCCTGGGACAGGATCAGGAGGGCAGGGGAGGCAGGGCCCTGAGAGGGAAGGTCAGTGAGGGTGTTGGGCTGAGGAAGAGGGCACTGTACCTCCACGGGGCACAGAGCTCAAAGCAGGTGCCCCGTCAGCAAGGACAGAGGTGAGACCATGGCAAACACTAAGCAGACTCAGAGTCCTTGAGAGGAGCAGGATGTTCTGCATCACCCCTCCCCCTCTCCGTCCCCTCCTATTCCCCGTGGGGCACGGAGGCAGGGTCATGGACACAAAGACCTCCATTGCCCCGAAAGGCTTGGGATCCAGAGTACTTAGAGGTCCCAGGATGAAGGCCTTGACCCCCAATCAAACCACTCAGGCGAAGGGTCTGGGCAGGCTTAACCACTGGTTTTTGAGGCATGAAAAGGATTTGGAGAGAGAGAGCGGAATTCATTTGCTTTTGTCTGTGACCAGCTTTGGGGCCCCTGGGGGAGAAGGAGGGAGGCTATCCCATGGGAACGGCCTGAGAATTCCCACCACCACCACCCCTCCCCGGGGAAGCCCCCTACTCAGACCCTCCGGAGGGCACTGTGGACAAAGGCAGCAATTAGCATGAGAATGTGCCCCACAGGATGGATGAGATCACTGGGAGGGGGGGGCTGTGTGGGTGTGTGCGCACTGTGTGGGAATCTGCCCTGTGTCCCAAGTAAGCGTGTGATGCTGTGGGGTGTGTCCATGGGACACCCCGGGTGCAGCCAAGTGTAATCCCACGCGTGGCCTTGTGCTGCAGTGGAAATGAAGAGGAATCGGGCAGGGCCAGGGACACAGGCTCAGCCGAGTCCTCCCTGGCTGGCTTGCCAGAGGCCTGCGGGCGGGTGGCTGACCCAGCATTTCCTCCCTCATCCGCAGGACCCTCCTAGAGGCCGAGAACTCCCGGCTGCAGACTCCCGGCAGCGCTTCCAAGACTTTCCTGGGCTGCCAGGGTAAGAGGAGGGGCCAGACCCTCCCCCCCACTCTCTCCTTCTTTGCCCTTTATACCCCAGAGTGATTCCTCTCCTGGGAGACCCAGTCTAGGTCTTGACTCCTTGGCCTCCTGTAGCAGTGAGTGTACTCTCCGCCCAGCCCGTGGAAGGTGGGGGCAGGGCTCATGGGTGCTCTTGCCAGAAGTGGTAGCTGCTTTGAAGCTCCGGGCCACCGCCAGTCCCTACTGACGCTGTTTCTTCCCCTCTGCCTTTCCAGACCCTAAGCTGGAGCTGCATTTCCCTGGGACCCCAGAGGGCCGGCATCTGGGACCTTTGCTCACTGCCCTGAGCCCTACTTCCCTCTCCTTGCCCTTGCCTGATACCCTTGAGACACCAGTGCCAGGCTTTCTGAAGAGCCAAGAATTCCTCCAGGCGCGTACCCCAACCTTGGCCAGCACCCCCATCCCGCCCACACTTCTGGCTCCCTGTGCCGTTACAGATACAGAGATCAGAGCCCAGGATGCCCCGCTGTCCCTGCTCCAGCCACAGATTGGGAGGCAGCAGGTTCCAGAGGCCCTGCACTCTAAAGCCAAGGTAGCCATCCCTTCCAGCATCCTGCCAGGACCAGAGGAGCCTGGAGGCGAGCAACAAGAGGCCAGTACTGGCCAGTCCCCTGAGGATCATATCTCCTTGGCCCCACCCCTCAGCCCTGACCCCTGTAGTTTAGAGGCCAAAGGTAGAGAACCCGGTGGGTCTGGAATGGCCAGCAGATTCCAGGAGGAAGGTGAAGGGCAAATCTGGGGACTGGCAGAGAAAGAAATGGCCATAGAGGTAAAAATGGTGAACAGTTTGCAGCAGGAAACATGGCAAGAAGATGGGGATCTGAACATGAAGGAAATCCAGGACTCCCAGGGTCCTTTGGAAAAAGAAACTCTGAAGTCTGTGGAAGAGGAAATTCAAGAGCCACTGATGTCTCTGGAAAAACAGAGCCATAAGGCACTGAGATCTCTAGAGAAGGAGAATCCAGAATCTCTGAGGTCTTTAGAAGAAGAGAGTTTAGACACATCAAAAGGTCTAGAGAAGGAGAATCAAGAGCTATTGATGTCTTTAGAAGAGAAGGATGCAGAAGTAGTGAGACCTCTAGAAAAAGAGACTCTAGGACTACTTAAACCTGTAGGAAAAGAGGACCCACAGACATTGCAATCTCTAGAAAAGGAGAATCAAGAACCAATGAGGTCTCTTGAAGGTAATCTAGAGACATTTTTATATCCAGAAAAGGAAAATCAAGAGTTAGTAAGGTCTCTAGAAGAGAACTTTGAGTCAAAAAGAGATTTAGAAAAGGAGACTCAGAAGCCACTGAGGTCTCTAGAAGATGAGAATCTAGAAAACTTAAGACTACTAGAAAAAGAGAACCAAGAGTCTCTGAACTCTCTAGAAGATGAGAAGCATAAGACCTTGAGACCTGTAGAAAAAGAGAACCAGGAACCACTGAGGTCTCTAGAAGAAGAAGACAAAGAGACATTGAGGCTTCTAGAAAAAGAGAACCAAAGGTCCTTGAGGTCCCTAGAAGAAGAGGAGCAGGAGACAGTGAGACCTCTAGAAGAAGACAACCAGGAGCCAGTGAGGTCTCTAGAAGATGAGAACCAGGAGACATTGGGACCTCTAGAAAAAGAGAACCAGAGGTCCTTGAGGTCTCTAGAAGAAGAGGACCAGGAGACAATGAGACCTCCAGAAGAAGAGAACCAGGAGCCAGTGGGGTTTCTAGTAGAAGACCTGGAAACACTGAGACTTCTAGAAAAAGAGAACCAGGAGACAGTGAAGTCTCTAGAAGATGAGAATCAGGAGACATTGGGACCTCTAGAAAAAGAGAACCAGAGGTCCTTGAGGTCTCTAGAAGAAGAAGGCCAGGAGACATTGAGGCCTCTAGAAAAAGAGAACCAGGAGCCAGTGAAGTCTCTAGAAGAGGAAAACCAGGAGACATTGGGATCTCTAGAAAAAGAAAACCAGGAGCCAGTGGGGTCTCTAGAAGAAGAAGGCCAGGAGACATTGAGGCCTCTAGAAAAAGAGAACCAGGAGTCAATGAAGTTTCTAGAAGATGAAAACCAGGAGACATTGAGATCTCTAGAAAAAGAGAACCAGGAGCCAGGGGAGTCTCTAGTAGAAGAAGACAAGGCAACATTGAGACCTCTAGAAAAAGTGAAACCAGAGCCACACATGTCTCTTGGAAAAGACCAGAAGATATTTAGACCTCTTGAAAATGAGAATCAACAGTTATTAAGGTTCCTAAAAGAAGAGAATGTAGAGACAATGAGATCTTCAGAAACTGAGAATCCAGAGTCACTAAAGTCTGCAAGAGAAGACTTGGGAATACTGAAATCTCTAGAAACTCAAGAGTCACTGTGGTCTCCAGAAGAAATGAATCAGGAGACAATGAAACCTCTAGAAAAGGAAATTCAAGAAGCACTGGACTCTGTGGAAGATGACCGAGACACACTGAGACCCCTAGATAAGGGGGACCAGGAATCACTGAGATCTCTGGGAGGGTGGAACCTAGAGAATCTGAGACCTCTGGAAGAGCTAGGTCAGGAAAGTCAAAGGAACCTGACCGAGGAAGAGACCCCCGAGCAGATGGAGAATCCAGAGTCTCCGAGGTCTTTGGAAGAGGAAGGACAGGAGTTGCCACTGTCTGCCAACCAGCAGGGGTGGGAAGATGTGGTGGGGGACCGAGAACTGGAGCAGGATTTGCCCCCTGGCAGGGCGGCAGCGGGCCAGGAGGCTGAGGCAAAGCTGGACGTGAGGGAGTGGGCTGGCTTCGCCGGGAAGGAGTCTGTGGGGCATGGACAGCTGCGGCTAGTGGCCGCAGGGGAGGTCTGGAGCACAGGAGAGGGGCACCCAGGGAGCCCTGAGCCCAAAGAGCAGAGGGTCCCAGTTGAGGGAGCCAGTGGGGAGGGAGGCACTGAGGGCTTCCGGGACCCCGAAGGGCAGCCGGAGCAAGTGGGGGTGCCAGGCCTCCAAGCTCCCCAGGGAGTGTCAGAGGTGAGAGAGCTGGTGTTGGAAGGTAGAGATGAGTCCCTGGGGGGTGGCCAGGCCTCCCCAGAGGTCACTTCGGGGTTAGAGACAGCTGTGGGCAAGTCTGCTGCGGGAAGCCGGCAGGGACCAGAGCAGGAGGTGGTGGGGCTGGAGGACCCAGGCCCCCCGGCCAGAGAGGAGGGGGAGGCGTCACCCATGGGCGAGGAAGGTTTGCAGGCAGAGAGGATGCAGGGTTTGGAAGGGCCCAGAAAGGACCCAGAGGAGGCAGCTGCTCTGGACCCAGAGCTTTCCACCCCGTCCAGGAAGAGCACAGACCCCTTGCAGCCTCCCAGGGGCTGGGAGGAGGCAGAGTCGGAGGCCCCGTGGGGAGCAGAGGCGGGGCTCCCCGCTGAGACCAAGTGCCCCTCTCACAGTGGAAGCAGTAGGGGTACCCCTCAGCCCAGGCCCCTGGGGTCAGAGGAAGCAGGAAAAGATGCAGAGCTAGTGCTGGGGCCCCCCAGCCCAAGGCCCACTGAGCCCCGGGCACCCACCCCAATCCCTGGAGATGCCCCTGGGCTCGAGCTCCTGGCTGAGGGGAGCCAGGAGGCTGGCTGGGGGCTGGAGGGCAGTGCAGAGGCTCTGGGAAGGCTGGAGGGGGAGCAGGAGAAATTGGGTTCTGAGGGGAGCCCTGAGGATCTCCAGGAGGAGGGGGAGGAGAACAGAGAAGACAGCGAGGCTGATGAGCTTGGGGAGACTCTTCCTGACTCCACTCCCCTGGGCCTCTATCTCCGGTCCCCAGCCTCCCCCAAGTGGGACCTGGTTGGAGAGCAGAGGCCCTCCCCTCAAGGGGAGGCCAGAGAGGAAGGCTGGGATCCTTCTGTTCCGGCCCCTGAGGGCTGTGGGGCTCAGCCTGGGGAAGAGGAGGAGGAATGTGGTCAGGACTCTGACTTGTCGGAGGAGTTTGAGGACCTGGAGACCGAGGGTTCTCTCCTTCCCAGCATCCCCGGGGAGGCTGTGGAACCTCCAGGCCAAGTGCCTCAGCTGCTGCTGGAGCCTGCAGCCTGGGACGGGGATGGGGAGTCCGATGGGTTTGCAGATGAGGAAGAGAGTGGGGAGGATGGAGAGGAAGACAGAGAGGAAGATGGGAGGGAGTCGGGGGCTGACCAGTGGGGCCCAGGGTCCTCTGTGGGCCCCCTTCCGGCCCTGAGTGGCCCTCAGAGAGGGAACTTCCTGGGGTCTGAGACCACAGATGGCAGCGTCCCCTGGGATGATGGCCTGAGGGGCATGGCAGCCGATGTTGGCATGACAGCCGATGTTGGCATGACTGCCCTGGAGACTGAGTCCCAGGACAGCACGGAGCCCTCGGGCTCGGACGAGGAATCTGGCCCTGTTCCCTTGGAGAGGGAGGACCAGGTCCCCGGCCCTCTGGGAACCCTCAGTGGGGTGGGAGACATGGGCCTGGGAGTGGGGGACAGCCTGGGTGTCAATAGCCAGGGCCCCAGCCTGAAGGAGGAGTTAGAGCATGTGAATGGGGGGGTGTTAAACGGGCTGCAGCAGTCCGAGGGAGGAGGGCAGGGGAAACTGGGGGGCCCTGAGGCGGACCAGGGCAGCCCCTTGGAAGAGGAGGAGGACGAGGGGAGTGCCCTGAAGGCCCCTTGGGCAGGATCTCCTCTTCACCTTGGCGTGGGCCAGTTCCTGAAGTTCACTCCAAGGGAAGGAGATGTCGACTCGTGGTCCTCAGGGGAGGACTAGGGAGAGCTCCTCCCTCACTGAGGACTCGGGGTGTGTGTGTGTGTGCGCACGTGTCAGGGGGGTCCCTCAGCCCCCTCCCTGCTCAGAGGCAGCACCCTTAAGTTATGATCCCTTGACCTGTGGCTTCTGTCCCAGAGGCTGGCCGGCCAAGGTGAAGCAGGGTGTGGTATGGGGGTGCGTCCCAAGAACGGAGGCTCCAGAATGCAACCCAGCCCCTCCGACCCTGCTGTCCCATGAGGCTTCAGCCAGCTGAACCACTGTAGGACTAGGCCCCTTTCCTCCCACACCCCTTCTCCCCCTCCTGCCATCTGGAAAGGGCTCCTCCCAGGGGAGGGGGCTGTGGTGGTCCTCACCACAGGGCTCACCAGCCCTGTCCCCCCTCGCTGCACCCTCTCGGGGTGTCTGGCCACTGGGTGAGGATGTGCTCCCAGGTCCTGACCCCCGTATTCCTGCCATGTTGTGTCTGGCTCATCCCTGCCTGAATAAAGTAGTTCTTCCGCCCCCGAAGTCTGGACTTTTCCTTCCCCAGTGTGGGGGCTCCTCAGGGCCGGGCGGAGTAGAGGAGACAGGGTGACTGGGGAAGAAGCTAATGTTGGGGAGGGGCTGCCTCTGAGGAGAGAAGGAACTGGAAGGCCTCATGGGGCCCAGGGAGGGCTGGGTGGCAGTCCAGGTGACCCCAGTGCTGGCAGAAGTCAGGCCCATCATCATCTCTGCCCACAGCGCTGATGACAGGGATTAGGCCTGGGGCCACCCCACCTTGTGCATCCTCCCCGCTCCCCCGGCCCCTCAGTGCCGCCAGGATAATGAGCCCCTTGCCTCCAAACCCAAACAGTCATCTGGCCTGCAATGTTGGCTCCAGGTGGCTGGGTCAGAGCAGGATGAGGGAGGCTGTGTGGCCTCTGGTCAGTGTTTAACCTCTCTGGACCTCAGACTCAGCCGCAGTGAGGGGCGCTGGGCTGGGTGACGGGGAAGGGGTTGGGGGGTGCCTTGGGGGCAGGAAGAGCAAGAGGAGGCTGGGGAAGGCCGGGGCGGGGGGGGCTGCAGCTTAGATCTTCAGTGGGACTTGCCTCCCGAAGACGGGATGAGGCCGTGAGGTGGGGGTAAACCGAAGCTGTCAGGTGTGAAGGAGCCAGGGGCTCTGCTGCCAACTGGGGTTCGGCCTGGGGTCCCCCCAGCCACAGCTTCTCCCCGCCCCCACCTCTCTCCCCAGGAGTGCTCTGGGTCCCTGTGAGGGGCAGGGAGAGACCAGGGGTTCCCAGGTTAGGTGGGGCCTGAGGCCTTGAAGTCAGGATACCCAGAGAGAAACCATTCCTGGCTCAGCTCCGCGGGAAGGAAGGGCAGGCAGCCCCTCCAAGTGTCCAGCTGGGGGCGGGGTAGGGGCGACCGAACAAACGTTCCACATTTGGAGGCCAGCCCAAGTCCGGGAGCAGGCTCTTCCTCTCCCCAGGCCCAAGGCTGAAGGCAGGGGGACAATGAGAGGATGGAACCCCAGCCCCAGTCCTAGCCCCGCTGGCTCGCACTCGGGTCCTCTGGCCAGAGGGGTGGGCGGACAGGAGGCGCCCCGAGAGACTCCCGCTGTCTCCCTCTCCACTCAGGAGTCTCTGTCTTGGGCGCCAAGGCCCTCATGTCACACACACCCCTGCCCTTGGGTGCAGGATGCTGTCTGTCCCCACCCTTCTGGCAGCCCAAGGCCCCCGCTCTCCTTCCTGTGCCCACTGCTGGCAAGGCCTGGTCTCAGCCCGCCGGGCCCGGGGGCCAGCACTTCAGCATCCAGGCAAGTAGGGCCCACCCGCTGCCCCTCTTCATGGGACAGAGGAGCCCTGTGCTTGATCTCCCCAGGCCCTCGGGCACCACCGCCTGGGCCAGGGGCCAAGGACAGAGGCCACGCCGAGCAGTCCTTCCCTGTCCCCGGGTGTCCCTCCTGCCCCCTGATGCTGGGATCCCTGGTCCCCTACAGAGTCACCCCCACAGTCCTGAACAGGGGGAAGGATGTGAGTTAGAGGTCAGGGCTTCCGGAAAGGGGGTAAGTAGTGGAAGGTGTGTTCTCTTTGGAAATGGCAGTCTGTCGATGCAGCAAGAGAAATGAAGGCTGGACAGTAACAGCGCCATTCGGGGAGCGATAAGAGGAGTGTCACTTTTCAACAGATATTTGCTGAGCACCTACTATGTGTTGTCACTGTGCAGACCCTGAGAATCCGGGGTTCCTTACCCCCTTCTAACTGAACAAGGGCTCCTGAATGGAAGTCACGTTTGAAGAGAGCCGAGGAGGAGGAGGTTGTGGGAGTGCAGAGCCGAGGGGCTGGGGAACCTCACCTGATCTGGGCTGGGGGGGGAAGGGGAGGGAAAGGATCCTAGTCAGAGGGCGCAGCATGTGCGAAATCCTGGGGCAAGACCAGAGAGCCCAGGGGGCTGAGGAGCAGGGGTAAGGCGTGTGTGGCCAGAGGTGGAGGGTGAGGGGGAAGAAGGTTCGCAGGAGGCTAAGGAGAGTCTGGGTCTCTGGGCTGAGGCCTTGCCAGGCGGCCGGGAAGTGTGCACGTCTTCCGGGGGGCGGGGGGCGGGGGGAGCCTCTGATGGCTTGAGGCCATAGGTGGCAGGACCAGGTCTGCATTTTCAGTATAGCCTGTGCTGGCCAGGAGGGGTTTCGGGGAGGCTACTGCAGTGGTCCGAGCAGGCCCACTGGTGGCAGTGGGCACGAAGAGGACAGCAGTAAGGGAAGCAGGATCTCAGCTCTTGGGGGCCCACTGTGGGGGACAGAGGGGGTGTGGCAGCTGGAAGAAGGGGGTCCCATCTTCTGAGCCAGAGAATCCGGAGGAGCTGCCTCGGAGTTCAGGAGAGAGGGCCAGGGTGGAGACAAGAGCAGGAGGGTGGGTGGCCTGGGGGTCACCCAGACAGAGCCCAGGACAGAGCTCCCAGGTACCTACCCGCAGAGAGGCCACACTTGGGCAGGAGCCACAGGAGAGGCCAGGGAGCGGGAGGGCCCCGGGGCCCGCAGCTCAGCGGACCCCGTCCTCTCAGAAAGTTCCAGGAGAGCGCGGACTTTGTCCAGCCCAGGGTCTCTGGGGGCCCAGGGTGCTCAGCAAACAGGTAGGGAATGAATGAGGGCAGGAACTGTGATGAGGTCAGACGACAGGAAGCGTTTCAGAGGGTGGAGTCCCCAGAGGAGGGAGCGAACAGGCAGCACCCAACCCCCCAGCACCCCCCCAACACGAGGACAAGCGGGAGGTTATTCTGGGGCCTCTGCCGGGTAAATATAGCCTCGGAACGGGGTGGGGGCGGGGTGGGGGGCCGGAGGTGGCTTCCTCGGTTTGTATGGGGCACTTCCTTATAAGGCCTTGCAGGCCGCGGCGCCAGAGGGTGAGGTCAGGGGCTGAGCGCTCCGTTCAGCCAGGCTGATGCTGTCGCTGCTCTGCCACCTCGGGGCCACCCGCTGGGTCTCCGAGGGAATCAAAGGCCTGGGCTTTGGGCTCGGGCCAAGGGAGCTCCGAGGGGGGCCTCTTAAAGGGCCGTCGGGCTTCCTGCCGGCTGTGCGCGCCCAGTGGAGGGGTGGGGAGGGTGTCGTCCAGGGTCGTCTGAGAAGGCAGCGCTGGGGCCCCGCCACCTGAGGCTCCATGAGGCTGTGGCTCCCCGGGGTCTAACCTTACACCGCCCCCTGCTGGCTGCCCCTCTCGCTGGGGCCTCTTCAGATCAAACACTTAAGAGTTCATCCATTGCTTCCAAACGCCCTGGCCCCTCAGCTCCCTACGCTCCCCCCCCCCGCCCCTCCTGGGGGACCAGCTGCTGCCACTTGACCCTTTGGTGTCCCAGCTGCTGTGTCTGCATTGGTATCCTTGGCAGGCAGGCAAGAAGGAATGTGGTTTAATTTCAGCTGGAATGTGCCCTCTGGGGTGCCCACAGCGAGGGGAGGGGACGGAGACCAAGCCCACCCGAGCCCAGGAAACCCAAGAAGACTCTGGGCTTGGGGACGGGCCCCCGGGTCCCCCGGGACCCGCTCCCACCCTGCAGCAGAGGCTCTGCTTGGGGGGAGACGGGTCCCACAGCGGGATGGGTCTCCCTGGGAGCTGGGGAAAGAGACGCTTCTTGTGAACGCAGCAGCGCGAGTGGGTAAAGAAAGGACCCAGGCGCCTGTTCCTAAGTCCATGGGCCCACCTTAGAAAGACAGAAGAGTCTCAAGGGACTAAACCAGGAAGGGACTGAATGAAGGAGGAGGGACAGAATGGCCTAAGGTGAGGCCCCCACCCCCCCACCCCCGAATCTGGGGCAGGAAGCAGAAGGAAACAGGGAGCTGTTTCCTGTCTCACATCCACGTCTCTGCTTCTGTCTCTGCTGGGGGGCCCCTTTCCAACCTAGCACCCCCACACCCAGATCACACTCGTCTCTTCTCCAAATTCCAGGAGCAATGGACCTGGCTCCTGCTTTCCCACGTCTTCCCCAGGCCCCATTCTTCCCGGGTCCCCAGGGTGGACGGCCCTCCTGTAACCTGACAATGGGAGGGGGCCCAGACCCCATAGGCCCCTCCAGTCTTGTCCAGGAGCCGCAAGCTCCCCTCCTCCAGCGCCATTCTCCCTGCCCACCCCCATGACTCAGCTGCGGCTCCAGAAATAAACCAAGGCAGATGCCGGGGGGCCACCATCGAGGAACCAGCTCTCAGCAGCTGTGGGCTCAGCTGCTGACAAGCCAGGGCCCCAGGGTCCCAGGAAGGGTTGCTGGAGGCTTTGGGGCTGGGGAGATGCCTCACTGGCTCTGGCCCCTCCTGGGCCCTTGCTCAGTCTTGCTCACCACTCACAAGCCCACTCTCTTTCCCTGTCTCCCCGGTTTTGCCTCTCCACATCTGCTACCTGCTTTTCTCCCTCTCCCTGGTTCCTTGCCAACTCCCAAATCCCTTGGTCTCTCCTGGGCTCCTTCCTTTTCTATTCACCTCACATGTCACAGAGAACTTCAGCTCACCTTGATGGGGAAACTGAGGCACAGAGAGATGTCCCCTGCCAATGCTCCTAAGGGTCCCTAGACACCTCTTGGGGTCCACAGAACACAGGTCAGGGGGCTGTGGACTGCTCCCCTTAAATGCCCCAGTCCCAAGTGGTCAACGGCCCTCCCTGGGCTAACAAGCTAGCCAAAGATTAAAGGAAAACCATCAGGGAATAAACACACAGGCTGCAGATCCACCCACTCAGACAATTAGAGCCAGAGTCCTCCGGTGGGCGAGCGTCCTCACATTCTTCTTCCTTCTCCCTCTTTTCCTGTCTTTCCCCCACTTCCCCACCCCTTCCTCATGTTCTGCTGCTGAGTCTTTCAGTTCTTCCTTCCCAGGAGGAAGCCGGCTGCTTTGTAGCAGGCGGAGTGGAAGTGAGATCTCAGGAAGGACTGTGTGGTCTGGAGGAGGCAGATGCGAGCCAGGGCACCTGGGTCCTCACTTCAGGCAGGGATCGGACTGCAGTCCCCAGGATGAGCCCTCCCAGCCCCGGGGGTCTGACCGGCTGAGCATTTTTGGAAGTCTTTAGGCAGCCAGG